TTGTTTTTACTTGTTGACTTGTGTGGTTAGGCCCTAGAAATCCCATATCTAAGCTTAAGTGTGGCACCCTTAGAGGAGTTGTTCTAAATGAGGATTGCATATTAATTCATATAAATATCTAAAAATCCTGAGGCTTGTTAACCCCACTTTATAGATGAGAAAAGTAAACAGTGAGATGAAATGACGGTCTCCCCCCACAAGATCCCCAGTTTGTTTAGTTACAGCGTTGCAGAGACAAGAACTAAAGACTTCTGTTGCTCTCCTTCCTTAAACAGGATTCTGATTACTTCCTTTATAAAAATCCCAGGTCAATTTTCTTCAAGATTCCTCTGCATAATGGATGTTCTCCCTACAGTAATAGCCTAAAAAAACAAAAACCCAAAACCCCTCTTAGAACAAAAAGATCAGGCTGGACGCACACTTCACGAATCAGTTCAGCTTTTTATTAGAATGAAGTTTCACACAGGAGCAGGGGATACAGGGACGAAAAGACATCATAGTGGAACTCACTTTCCTGGTGGAAAAATGAGCCCCCGAACAAAGAAAGGCCTAGGRTTATATAGGTTATTCTGAGAGGTGGTCTAGTGAGCACATCAATTTTCTTTGGGCGCCCAGGAATTTGGAGTTGGTTCTATCAATCAGTGAAGGGGTCAGTTTTAGTGCTTAGGAATTTGGGGTCTGTTTTATGGGGCAAAATGGGAGGGAGTCTAGGGTCAGTGGTCAGTTTCTGGGATTTATCTTACTAGACCTGATGGAGAGCCTGAGGTCAGTGGTTGGTATCTGGAAAGGATTTGTTACCAGAAGGATTAATGCTTTGGCCTCTTCCCTGCCTTTCCAGGTTTGATGGAAACCTCTTCCCCAGGGTTTGTTTTACCACCAGGAAAGAATGTATTGGGAAAGGATCACTGCTCTCAATCTATGGCTTCTCTTCTCACCCACCCCTCCTCACTACTTCTGGGGTTTATCATTTTCCATATCTAATAGCAGGGATGAGGTGATGCTGTTGGACCCACTCTCCTGGTGGAATGAGCCACTGAACAAAGGAGGGGACTGAGAGGTGATTTAGTGAGCGTGTCAGTTTGGGCACTTGGGAATTTGGGATCTGTTTTATCAATTAATGAATGTGTCCCTTTGAGCACTCAGAAATTTGAATTTTTGGATTGGGGGGGGGGTCCTGTGATCAGCATCTTGAAAGGATTTATTTTAGGAGTGATTAATGCTTCCCAGAGAATATCATTTTTAGGTTTGATGAAACACCTTCTCCCTGCTTGTGGCCAGCATCTGGAAAGGATTTATTTTAGGAGAGATGAAAGCTATTAATGTATGGCTTTCTTTTTCACTCATTTTTCCCAGGCCTCACTATTTGGAGGTTTGTCATTTTCCATATCTAATAATGTCCCCTTATGTATCTCTTTGTATACTTTTTTTCACATACTTTATAGAAAATACTAGCTGTTTCCTACTCTAGATCAACAGTTCTGAGGCCAGCAGCAACTGTTCCTCTKTATAGAATTGCAACTGTCAGAAATGCAACTTGTTATAAATAAAAATCTTTAGCCCTACTCCAAATCTACTGAGTCAGCGATTTTGCAGATGGCCTACTTCAATTCTCTCCCCCATTTTTTTTTTTTTTTTCTTTACCAGGGAATTGAACCCAGAGTGCTTTATCACTGACCTATATTTCCAGCCCTTTTTATTTTTGGAGCCAGAGTCTCACTAAGTTACCAAAGCCGGCCTTGAAATTGAGCTCTTCCTTCCTCAGCTTCTCCAGTTGGTGGTGTGCTCAACCCTTCATATCTTTTTTTTTTTTTTTGGTGTGAAGGATTGATTGAATCCAAGGGCACTTAACCACTGAGCCACATCCACATCCTCAGCCTTTTTTTTTTTTTTTTTAATATTTTATTTAGAGACAGGGTCTTGCTGAGTTGTTTAGGCCCTTACTAAGTTACTGAGGCTGACTTTGAACTTCAGGATCCTCCTGCCTCAGCCTCCAGAGCCGATAGGGATTACAGGTGTGCACCATTATCCCTGGCCCTTCATCTCTTTTTAATAAGCTCTCCAAATAATTCGTGTTAATTCTTTATTAAGTAGGTAGTTAGTTATGAGCCAGTGGCAAGAGGGACAAAAAGGAAAAAACTTTTATGGAAGATATCAAGTGTGTACATCAGAGACCAAGTACATCGATAACAGGACTGATTAAAACAGAAAATCGG